TTCCCTCTCTCGCTGTGTCTCTCTCTGTCAAATAAAAAATAAAATCTTTAAAAATAATAATAATAATTACACAGAGTAATTTTTTACATATATTGGGAAGTTTTTTCTATACTGCAAGTATATGTATTTGGGTATATGAGCATATAGGCATGCTCCATGATAACCAAAAGGTATTTCTTAAAAATGAAGTCATCTCTTTTTTAATTCTTATTTCAGTTGAATTATAAATAAAATAACCCATGTCAAAAAGAATACATATATTGGGGCACCTGGGTGGCTCAGTAGGTTGAATGTCTGACTCTTGGTTTCAGCTCAGGTCATGATCTCATGGCTCATGCGGTAGAGCCACATGTCTGGCTCTGGCCTCAGCAGGGAGTCTACTTGAAGATTCTCTTCCTCTGCCCCTCCCCCGCCTTGTGTATGCACACGAAAAAGAATACATATGTTGTCCTAACACTTCCTGCGTAGGTAAATGCCTATGGATGTGTTTGTATGGCTAGAGATTTCTTTCCCTGTATCTCTATGTACAGACTTGTGTCCCCAGTGCAGGGTGAGGTATATAGTTTTCATCTCATAACAGTCTAAAATTCAGTCATACAAATAATCTTTGTTCTCAACAAACCAATATATAGAAGAGAGAAGCTTACAGTATTGTTTTTAAAAAACCATAACATTCATATCACGCATAACACATTAGTTGCCAAGTACACAAGAAATTGTTATTCAAATACATTGCCAGTTGTGGAATTATATCAGTGAAACTAATTTTTGGAAAACTGGTAATTTGGTGAATTGGTCATTTGATAAGTTGCAAAATTTGGTGAAGTATTAACTTTTAAATTATTCCATGGTCCTTTGCCTAAGATCTTTTAAAATGAAGCCTATCATGTAATACTTAAGCATCGGCTCTGGAGTCAGACAGTTAGAGTTCCTCTCCCAGCTATGACACTAAGTAGGTGGTCAAATGATTACTCTCCTGCTCGGTTTAGTGTGATGGCTGAATAACTTGATACATATCAAGTACTTAGCACAGTACCAGGAACATAGAAAGTGCTTAACACAGTACCAGGAACAGAGAAAGCAGCGGAGTAATAACTCATGTTATTGTTAGGAAATTAGCAGCTGAAACTTGGAACCTACTCAGCCTGATAATTTTATCTTTGAAAGTTCACAAGTGGCATGAATCACTTCAATCACTGAGTCTGCGCTGTGATTTCTAAATAGATTTGTTTTATTATGCATTTGTTGTAACTATGAGTGGATTGTCTTTTCTAAAAGAATACTTAAGTATTTAAGTTTGCTGTCCTAATAATTAAGAATCAGATAGTTTTACAATGACTTTTGTTTATTTCCTTATGTTAGTCTTACTTTCTTTTATGTCCTTTCCTTAACCTTTGTCATTGGCTTTTTTTCTCATGAATTAGTGGTCTGCACTGTTCTCTCATTCTAATAGACTCGTGATTAGATTAATTTGGAATGAAAAAGGTCAGACACCAATTAGCAGCAGCTTTAAAATTTGTTGTGGTTATCGTGACTTGATCAGTTTGCAAAAAGTATACATTGAGGTTGAAGGTTAGCTATTTTCATTATTCGTGGGAATATTTTGTGGTTTATAAAAGTGTATTTCAAGGCAGTTGGCACATTTTTAAAACTAACTCCATTCATACCAGACTTAACTAACAGAAAACATTGGCAGCATCAACAATATCTACAAATACCAAAAGCCTCCCTGTGTATTTTAATTTGTGTTAATGTTTTAACGTATTTGCCAGCTTCTCTAAATTTCCAGTGATTTTGGAGCCTTAACTCATAATTATAATTGCATTATTCTTAATAACATAACAAAAGCAAAACCCCCTCTCCAGAAAGAAAACAAGATGTATAATGTGACATCAAATGTAACCAGTTATAGAACTTGGCACCTACATGAGATTATTTTGAAAGCCTTTTAAAAATCATAACTGACAGAAAGACACAAAATGTAAATTAAATTTTATGAATAGTTAAAACCTCCTGATAAGGTTTCCAATAGGAACATGGCTATTTTACACAGTGTTTAAAATTCCTAATTTTATTATTTGAGACAGCTAATGAAATGATTTCAATAATTATTTTAATTTGACAATAGCATGTGATGATTAAAATCACTGATAAAAAGCAGTGATTTAATTAGTATGTCTATTTAAGAAATTAAGAATTTATAGATTTTTGTGGTAAAGTAAAATGAATGAGAAAACCGTTGTATTACATTCCCAGAGTAAATTCTATTCTCAGTCATCCAAGCTATTACCCATATGTCAGTTCTATATCTCAGTTTCTTCATCAGTGACTAGGTGAATTGCACCCTAAGACCCTCTCCACCGATGAGTTTTGATCTAAGGCTACCTTAATTCAGACTGACCAGTACTCTCAAGGAAGGCATTTCCTAATACATATTACATTAATAAAACCAATTAATCAGTAAGGCGAGCATGTTTAGAGTCTGTTGGTTGTGATTGGAAGGTATTTTCCCATTGTGGAAATCTGTCGTTTATTTGCTCATTCTTAATCCCATTTCTTAATTGTTGTGTTTTTTAAAAATATATTTTATATGGTTGCATTGGAGACATACACACTCCATTCATACTAAAATAGTTCAATAGGAAAGTTTGTTAATTTTACTCCAAACATCCATTTTCAAACATGATCTTCATTCAGGCATATGGAAGTGCTGAGTTTTGACTAACATTCCTAAAAATTTGACAGCTTATAATATTAACTAAAAGATAGATAGATAACCCACAGAAAATTTGCATAATTGTATTTCCTGGAAAAGCTAATACTCAGAAAACAGAAATCAAGTCAGCACTTGGATTTAACTTTATCTGCAAGCCAGCAAAGCACTTTAAAAATAAATCTAGCTTTATTGGCATCCACTGAAAGCCAAAGAAACTATTGGATTTTTAATTTCTAGATCTTAGGGGACCTCATAAGGAGCACTCTTTTCTGAGCGTGCCCTGCTTCTTCCCAGAAGACTTAGACTTATTGACATTTTTATTATTGATTTATTTAGTATACATGCCTTTAATCTCTACGTTTTTTCTTCTCTTTCTCCTCCTTGATCCCTTTCTCTCTAGTACACAGTATGGACTGCCCTCTGGGTCACCTGGAACGTGTTCATTATCTGCTTTTATTTGGAAGTAGGTGGACTCTCTAAGGTAAGTTTATCATGCTTTTAAATAGGTACACTTTAAAAAGAGTACACTAATAAATAATTATTATGACTATATGTGTGTGTGTATATATAGAGTGTGTGTGTATTATATATATATAGAGAGAGAGTGTGTGTGTGTGTATGTATATATATATATAGAGAGAGAGAGAGGGAGAGAGAGAGAGGAGGGGTAATCTGAATAACATTATAAATGTAATACTAATCAAAAATAAGTTTGGATACTGATCAGGAAAGAATGATCTTAGGAGCTTTATGGTTTAACTATGGCTTTATGGTTTGGTTTGTTAAGCTGTACTGAAACTCAGCTTCCAGTGTATCCTCATGTCCAGTTTAAAAAGGCCTAATGTCACAGTGACAACAGCCCCAAATGTTAAATGAAAAGTGGTTTTGAGCATTCTCGTAATTTAAAGTGGAAACAGAGATTGACAAAAACGTTAATGTAATAAATATGAATAGCAAGTCACTGTCTTTGTTTCAATATTAATTCTGAAAAAATAAAAGTTTGACAAAGGATGAAAGCCTTATATGTGTAAGTGGAGGATATATTCACTAACTAAGTGCATCTTGAAATTCTGCTCAGACAGACGAGAGTTGTCTTGATGCAACGTGTTACCAGCCTCATTTCTGTCTGTCTGCATCTAGTGTCAGCAAAGCACACAGTTTTCACTGTGACTCCTGCAGAGCCAGCTTTCGTTCGCCATCCCACTGTAAGGGCATCTTGGGTAAAGTTTCTAGCTGTGTTTCTCATACATTTTTCTCATAAACCAGCACAGTTTTTACTTGTAGAAATCAGAGAGAAGAAATGTAATAGTATAATTACAAAAAGAATAAGAAAGCTATAGTGTTGTTGTTGTTGTGTTTTGTTTTTTCTTTTTTCAGATTTCTCATTATTCACTGTATGTGTGCTAACTTATTCTATTGTATGATCGTCTGAAAACTTCTAAGTAACATAATGGTCTTCTACTAGCATTTGAGGGTTTAGATCTTAGAAAATTTACATTGACTAGCACAGACTCAGAATCGTTAGGCTCCATTGAAGTGCATAGGGTAACAAAGAATTTTTGATTTAGCTAAGCAGCAAAAATCCCTGAAGGATTTTCTCCGGAACCTCCAGAGGTGGTTACTCTTTATTCTACACTATAATAACCTTATAATTAGAACTTGTCATCATTTTCTCACATTGGCAAATGTGTTCAGGAGCCAAAAATGACATTTCTAATACTGACTTTTATACATATGCACAAGCATCTACCCTTAATATTTGTGCCATTAATCACATTTAACCTCTAATTTTTAAGACAGAAAAAAGTGCTTAAATCAGTGCCTAGTTATCTTCTGTAACACGCAGATTATAAAGTAATTTTAAAATGCAAATTTTATGAATATAATAATTGTGAATAATAAGTTAAGCATAGCATTTTTCAAACCATGGCATTTTTTATCTTGTAATTTGAATGGTCATTTTAAATCATTACTGTACTGGGTAGTAATTCTCTTCTATTTTCTTCCATATAAACCGATTTTTTGGGAAAAAATTAGACCAGAAGAAATTTGTCCTATGGAATTGGTATTATGGTATGCTAAAAGAAAACTGAATTTCAAATCCCAAGTCTTTCACTCAAATCTTGTCTTTAGCACTTATTAACTATGGGCCCTTAGGCAAAGCACTTAACCATGCTAAGTCTCTGTGAAATATAAAAACGGGACCAGTTTGCCAATAAATGGTAGTAGTAATCAACACTTGTTGGGTATGAAGCATTGTTTTAAGCACATCATTTACGGTAACTCAGGTAAGCTTCAAAACAACCCTATGAAGTGATAAGAAGATAATAATGGTAGTCTTTTTTTCCATACCAGTCTGTTTTCCCTCCGCTGCTCAAGGTAACTTTTGTGCACTGCTTTTTGTAACTGCTTTTCTAATATCAATATGCCCGTCAAGGGTTTTTTTCTTTCTCATTTCTTTGGGTGCAAGGTTAAAAATGATGGATATACTAGTCCCAGTCACTCATTTTATTACGCATTCAAATGCCATTAGGCAATCAACCAAGTATTCTAGGTCGCTAAAAGGATAGATGACGCCAAAGTGAGCATCTTAAAGATTTTCTGTTGTTCTCCTTCTATTAACTGCCTCAAAGGCTGGTAACATTTCCCTGGTTAGCCACAGTGTAGCCTCAGTTGCAGTCTGTAGGAAATCTATTCTGAAAACTTGAGCCGAGTTAAGGACGCTTGACAAACCCAAGCACCTCTACAACACTTCGAGGTTGGACTCTAGTTTTTATAAGAAATTCCTTGTCCATATATGCTGGTATATACTTTCTAGAGCTCTCTATTTCTTGCTAGTTCGTGAAGGCGTTCCTTGGCATTACCCACTTGGATAGATTAATAGAAGTCTCCTTTGGCCTGGATGTTTGCCTAAAATATCCATTCTAAAATAACAGATCTTTTCCCCCAAACTGGATTCAGATTAATTTCCACAATTATCTCTATTCAGTGTTGTTCCAGTGACAGTAACCACATAATCATTCTTATTAACTCATCGTGCACATTATTGTGGACATGAACAATTCTACATTTGACCTCTTATGGGGATTCTTGATCCCAACATCCAGATATTCCTTTCCTTTTTACCTCATCTGCCAATCAGCTCTGCATCGTGTGTTTATCACTGGTCTTGAGGGTCCTGATTCTCTTCAGATCTTCCAGAACTTAAAAGAAATGGCTGTATTGTTTTTAAGGAAGGTGTACATGTATGGTGGGGTCAGGGATGATTACGGGTCTGCATTTACATAATCTCCTGGAGCCTCAGCTTCCTTTTGAGGAAAACTGCAGCACTAATTTTACTGGATTGTTGAAAGAATTAAATAAGATAATGCATATAAAGGACTTAGAAGAGATCTTGGCAGAGAGTGAGGTTTCAGTAAATAGTGGTTCTCATAATTGCCATCAACATCATCATCTTTATTATTATTGAAGAAATTAGCAGACATCATGATTCTCGCCTGAAGCCTTCGGGACATATATTTATTACTATGCAAGAGCCGTAAGGGGAAAAAATGTAAGACTGAGTGACTTGTTTAAAAAATATGTAACAGTCCCTTGTGATAGGACCTCAGATCTGCATATTAACTTCACAGCTGAAGCACTATTAATTAAATCCTTTCCTTCAACATGTAAATGGCTTTTTTTGAAATACTTCTGCAGCTGGATTCTCCTGGTGTCCCTACTGTTCCCCCTAGGAGAACTTTATGCATCTTTGGAAGTCTCTGAGGCTGTTTTTCTGCCACAGTTTAAGATCACCCAGGGCACAATTAATAAGTTATTGCTGCTTCTTTGGAGGTTGCAAGACTTGAAATCATTTTTTTCCTCCCTAGGAATACATTCAGAATGTAAATATGAAAACTCAACTTATTTACCACATTTAAAGAGAGTGAAAAATAAGTTGTGTTGAGAACTTAAGTTGTACTTTCTTTTTAATTCCAAAGGAATTTAAGCTAATATCTTACGCCATGCTCCTGCTTGCTCTAAAGTGTACAAACTTTGAGCTAATATTCCTTCTAATCACCTTTTCTTGAAAGGTGTGTGGAGCTTACACATTGTGATCCTAGAGAATTTTGAGTGTGGCTCATTTTCATAGAATATAAAATGTGCATGACTGTGCATGAGCATAATTTAGACAGAAAAATAAATATAAACAAGTTCTATGAATATCTTATTAATCATCTGCTTTGATCGGGGACCTTTCAAAAACTTATAAACAAGGGGTGGGAGAGAGAGAGAGACTAACCCTTACTGATTTCTACTCTGTATAGGTGCTTTACATTGCCTTCACACAAAAGGAAACCTACCTTCATTTTTTTCCTTCTATATCATGTTTTAACAACTGGACTTTTTCCATTGTGACCTAATTTATAGGTATTTTGATTCTTAAGGAAATTTAAGCCATTTCCCCCAATGGCAATAATAGCACTCTCTCTGTTTTTTTTTTGTTGTTGTTGTTTGTCTTTTTTTGACTTAAATTGTCACCTTTTCATACATAAGGGTCTTTTTCTCTTGTGAGATTCTTCAGTTGAATATTTCACCTGAGCAGCCAGGCCAGATCAATGAGATAATTCTTCTTTTCAAGGCTCATTCTTATTACCTAACCTGAATTGTTCTTCTGTACTTACTGAAAAAATTATCTTTCTTACTCAAGATTCATTTTCCTTCAAGGTTGGATTCTCCCACAAACTGTGGCTTTGGACAGGCACTTTCAAGTAGAAGACTTTTAGAGTCAATTCAGAATTATGTACAGGAGCAATTGCTTAGGAAACAGAACTTCAGTTTCCTTCGGCTGTTTACAGTCCACCCATTATTTCTTATAAACAGTCTAAATATTTTTGTCTCAAAGAATTCTTTTTCGGATGACAGTTTCAAACTAAATCAATGATGTATAGTGTATTTCTTTTTTATTGAAATAAATGCAGCTTACTGAATCTAGCAATGAATATTAAACTTATGTTTATCTTTTCCTTTTCATGATCTCTTCCTACCTGGACATTTTTCAAAAGGAATCTTGAAATATGATGCTTACAGAGGGGTGAAGCTAGGGCACAAAATATCTTTATTTGAGAATCATGTAGCAGCAAATGATACAGGAGCATCTCAGAAACCCAGCAAAATTATGCCTACATTTAGAACTACAAGAATGGTATTCTATTTACTCTATCATGAAGTAAATGTCATATCTATATCAATGAGACACTTTGGGAAAATGCATAAACTAAGCTCACTAGAATAGCAAAATATTTCAGGATCAGAATTAACATATTGTTATGTACTTATCCTGCTATCCAGAAAGAATGTTTTTGCATATGATATTGACTGGGATAGGGGAAGATGGAAGTGGAAGCGGATATCTACCCAGTTATTAAGGATTAATAAAGGAAGAACCATCACAATCTGCTTCCAGGCATTAAATTAATATAAGACCCAAAGACTTGCAAA